AAAAAATATTTATATAGTAGTTGTTAATAAAAATTTTAAATTTAAATTACTTTTTAGAGTATTACTAACTATAACTAGTAGTGATTATCACCAAAGAGCTTATATTTTAAAAATATACTAAATAAACAGAATTAGATACTCTAAGTAAAAATATTTAAAATTTTTAAAAACTTTACAAAAACTAAAATTAAAACCTTATATTAGCTCTATATTATATTATATAAAAAAAATAATTTTTAATATTTGTACTCTAACTTTATAAATAATTAGAAATAATAATAATTACTATTTGTTATTTTAAGTATATTTCTACTTTTTTATATATTAATTTAATCTTAGTCTCTTTACACTCTCTTTTAATTTCTTACTATTTTCAAAATCTCTTACTCTCATATTTTTCTACTTATTATCAAAATACTATTAAATATTTATAATTAGCTTTATAACGATATTTGAATTTTCTACTATACTAACTTTTTTTATTATAAAAAAGTTTATCAAATTTAATTACAACTTAATTTTAACACAATATTTACTTCTTTTTATTATCTAGAAATAAAAAAAAACTAAATCATATATATCTATAACTGTTTTTATAGTTTTTTTAACTAATTATACTTCAATTTTAATATCTGCTCTTAGGTGGGTCGTACACCAGCTGGAAGTTGATTAATGGGGTAATAGCCGTTGATTAAATTCTAAGATATAGCAAAATTACGACTAAATTGCTTAGGGTGGGTGTCATTAGATAGACTAATGTAGCACAACTTAATTCCTGTAATATACAATATATAATAAGTTCTTAAGTTCTTAATTAATAAAATTATAGCGTATAAGCAATTTACTTAAAAAAAAAAAAAAAAAAAAAATGAAAGTTTTTTTGTTGTTTTTATTCTAATTAAAAACTTTAATATTAATTAATTGTGTAAAAACTTCCAAATAACAAGTTTTTGTTTAAATTGAAGAATGATTAGATCAACTTTACACATAGAATTTTAAGAAAGGTTACTATGAAAGAATTTTGAATAAAAACAAACAGATATGTAAAAGTTATCTTGATAGAATTTATCTACAAACTTTTCAAGAATCAAGCAACATGCCACAATATAAACCTGTTCATAAACCAAAAGGTGCTAATATCAAAAGTCCACGAAAATGAAGTTGTTTTTATTTTTATTTTATTTTATAGTGGTAATCAGAATAGTTTTTTTTTTTTTTTATATATATTAAGGTGGCCACTTAGACTATTAGTATGAGCTTTATTCAGATAGTTATGATATTATATCTGTTTTATGAAGATACAACTAGCTACACATGTACCTTTTGGGTATCTAATTTAAGTAGTCTGCCTGGGTTTTACACTAGCCACTATACCTGAAATCTAACTAAAAAATTACCTATTTAAATTCTTTGGTTATTTCTAACAAGAGTACGACTAGCTATATATGCAACTTTTGGTTGCCTATTTAAGTAGTCAGCCCTAGATTCCACACTAGCTACCATATCTATAACCCAACTAGGGAGTTACCTATTTAGTAATCAGAATAGTTTATGGTCATGAATTATTGAATTGTTTAGAAAAGAATTTATTGAAGAATGAAAATATCAATAATGACTTTGAATATACCAGATCCTTTAATTATGATAATATGAAACAATTAGTAAATGAATACAATCAAATTACTTGCTAAAAGAATGAGACTTCCTTTATAAAACAAATTTGTCACTGTTTGATAATTACGCATTGCATGTAAAAACAATTATCAAAGAAATGCAATCATGTAACAAAAAAATTATAAAAATAGCCAAACAAATCACTGACGAGTTATAATTTATTACTTAATAAATATATATTTAATTAAAACAAAAAAAAATAAAATCCAAATATAAAATCACAAAAATTATCAAAAAAGCTAAAACAAAAAAAGAAATAATGAATAAAATTCATAAAGAAGATCCATATTTTTTTACAAAATATTTTTTGAATATTAATAAAGCCTCAAGCTACATGTTAAACGAATAAAGTAAAGATGAAACTAAATCAAGTGATTCAGAAACTTCTAATTCAGAAGTTGAACAGAAAATACAAAAAATTGTTAAAAAAATATCACAATACAATTTATTTATAAAAAATAAAATGCAAAGATTAAAAGATGAAGAAATTGATAGCAAAAATTGATTTAAAATAGCTACACAAAGATGGAAGTCAAGCTCTGAAAATCTGAAAAATTATATAAATAGTTAGTATTTTAAAAAAAAATAAATTAAAAAAAATAATTTTTCAAACAGTTCTAATTCCAATCAATAACAATACCGAAAATATTGCAAAAATTAAGGAATTAATTGTGTTAAATCCTAATGAACATAAATATGAAATTTCAAAAAATATCTATTATAAGAATAATGAAAACCATAAATTTATTATTACCAGTTGGATTAAAACTCATGAAGAATTAATTAAAAAAGATGAAATTGATAAAAATACTTTAGATTATACTATCATTAGATTAAAAATTGATAAAGAACATGCTAACATTTGTCTATTTTATTTTACTGAAAAAAAATAAAAATAATATATATCAATATGTTGAATTGAATATGATCGTATTTGCTAATTTTAATGAATTAGAACCTGATAAAAAATAATTTATTTAAAATAATGTAGTAGAATTAGCCAGAATTGTTTTTGAACCTGGCTATGATTATCATTTTTAATTTTTTCAAATAAATATAAATAAAGCTGCTTATTTTTTTTAAAAATTTAAAAATGTCATACACATCATTGAAAACAACCTGTGAATTGTATCTTAAATTATATGATGAAAAACTTGCACTATATATAAAATAGAGAAATTGGCTTACTAATCAAAAAAATAAAGTAACAAAAGAAAAATTTAAACTATTTTTTACAGAATGGAAAAGATTGACTAAAAAACTCAAAGAAAATCAAATCAGAAAAAAAAATTAATATCAAAGTTTCAATAGATATAGTAAAAAAAAAAAAAGATAAAACCTCCAAACAACAAAAGAAAACAATCGCAAAACTATATGAACAAGCGTAAAACAAATGTAGAGAAGCAAATGAAAGATATAGAAATACCTGGGACATGTATAATACCAGAATAGCTACAGAAAAAAATAATATTGATAATGAAAAATTGATAAAAAAATTTAAAAAACAACAAAAATTAATAGAAGAACTTATCGCACAATTAGAAAAACATAATAAAGATATATTGAAGAAATTAAAAGAACCATTAGACACTTCTGATATTAAATAACTATAAATAGAGAGAAGAAGAAAAATAAAAATAAAAACAAAATAAAAAAAAATAAGTACAGAAAGACAAACAGAATTGGATCAAGTTCAAAACTTAATCACATAGCTAGAAAAAATAAAAAACAATCAAAAAAAAATTATGAAACCTTATTGACCGGCTTAAAGGATATAAAAAAATTTAGTAAAAACAACAATCAAAGAAGCTCTCAAAAATTATGATATAGGTGAAGATGTTAAATAAGATATCATTGTAGTAATTAACACTGTTAAAACTAATATTAAATCAGAAATCAATTCTGATCCAAATCTTGATGATATTTAATAAAATATATAAATATCTCACAATAAAAAAAAATAAAAAAAATAAAAAAATAAAAAAAATAAAAAAATAAAAAATAAAAAATGTTTGCTCATCATCAAACTGAATATGATAGAATTAAAACCTTACTTGAAACTGCAAGAGCTAGTAAAAAGCAATGGAAAAAAAATTATGAAGATCTACAAGATTTAGCTGATAATTTAAAAGAAACAATTAAAACTTTTTTAATCAAAGTTTTAGATAAAAAAAATATCAGAGAAAATATTAAAAATGTTCTTATTAAAAAAATAAATAATTTAAAACAAATGTTATCGAAGAATTAAAAAAAGACCTGATACTAGTAACATCATTTGACTAAAATCTGAGAGAAATTTAACAAAAATAGATGTTTTAGTGATTATTTCACTTATTTTCTTTTCAAATATATTTTTTATTATTTTATTAGGATTTTACAGTTGGTTTTTTGATTATAATTTAACATGTATTATCATTAAATAAACATATAAATATCTTCAATATTCAATAAAATTATTTTTTTTAAAATAAAATAGCATCAAAAATTTATTTTTTTTTATATATACTGATTGATATCTGTGCATTAATCTTTTTTATTTTAGTTGCTTGCTCAATTTACTATATATACAAACCAGATTTTTCTATAGTAAATAATCTAATTGCCTCATTTTTTAGACATTTTTTGTGCAATTTACGTGTAATATTTACAGAAATAATTACATATCTTGATACAATATAATTCAATCTGGTGCCAAGAAGATCAAAGTGCTCTCCAAGATATAAAAAAAAATCTACATCGTCCTGTGTGAAAGAAAAATCAAAAACAAAAAAAAACAAAAAAAAATCTAATTAAAGAAACATCAGTCTCAATTTCTAAAAAGTGTAAAGATTGCAAACCAGTGGTTAAAAAAAGTACAAATAGTTGTAGTATATCTGATTTTATCAGACAATTTAGAAGAATCTAAATGAGATATCGTTATCAAAATGTTCACCCGATTGTTCATTGTTATGTTGTAACAGAGTAGTAAGAAATATATAGTATTTCTGTAACTTGGGAAAACATAAAAATGTTCATGAAACAGAAGAATTGAAAAAATGTGATTTTAAACATGATAAATTTATGCATAGAATATTACAGGAAGGCAGACTGCCAATGATCGATATTATCTATTACCATTAACTAATAGAATTAATATCTTTTCATTAAATCAAGAAATCAAAATAGATCAAATTTTTTTATATGATATAACTATCGATACAACATTTGTAACATTCCATAGTTTCAATTGAGATATTAAACTTTATCAAAATAATTTCACAACATTTAATGCTGTAGCAGGAAATAATACAAATGCTAGAAACACATATTATCCTTTGATGGAAAATATGTATCTATCAATTTTATTAGGAGTTGTTTGTAATCGAGATGTGGCAAAACAATATAATTATACTCCAGACGATTTTATCAACAAACCAAAAGAAGATTTCAAAGATTTTACCACAAAAAATATTTTTAGAATTATTGATGAAACATATGCATACATCTCTTGTGAAGGTGATTGTCCATTCACAACACATAACATCACTTTATGTTTTAAATTTAAAAACAAAATAGATGTTTGCTTGTTAAACAGAAATGTTGATGATGAACATAATTTTTTCAATATTGAAAAATTTGTATTGATTATCACAGCAAGTTACACTAATTGGGCAATGAATTTAAAACATTCTAATGATACAAATTATTTTAATTTCAGTGAACGAAGAGACTTGTTAAATGGAAATATTAGGTATTCGGTAATGGTTTAAGATTTAAAAATTCAACTAGCATATAAACCTATTATTAAACTAATTAGACAACAAGATCTAAATAGAATAATCGCAGCTCTTAATGCACCCCAAGCTTTAAATCAACCAATAGATTAAAATATTTAGATTTAGTTTAAATTTATATAAATATCATTTGTATTCTTTATTTTTTAATAAAATATTATACATATTATGAATCAAAATCTATAATGTCAAGTTAAAACAAATTACATTAATAAATTTTTTAATTGTAATAATGATCTGCAAACTAATACACAAAATTCAAAAATAAAATTAATTAATGAAAATAATGGTTTATAACAATTAATCAATATAATCAATCTTATTCAAAATATACAAAATAAATCACCAGAACCCAACCCAGATAATAAACCAGAAACTGAAAAACCTGAAACTAAACCAGATGAATCAATAAATGAACCAGAAACTGATAAACCAGATGAATCAATAGATGAACCAGAAGCTGATAAACCAGATGAACCAATAGATAAACCAGAAGCTGATAAACTAAATAAACCAGAAGCTAATAAACCAGATATGCATCGGATATATCCTTGCATCAGATCTAATCCAACTCGTGTCAGATGCTGATTTTCATGTGATGCACATCACCTGTCAAATTGGTCATTTGACGTATATTAGTTGTAATCTGATGTAAGATCTTTAATATCTAATCTATAAAAAAAAAAGTTTAAAAGCTTTAATGAAAATATAATATATCATTATACTTAAGGGTATAAAATAAAACCCTTCGCTTTAATCATGTCTTCTTTTTCTTGAAGCTTGGTTTATGGTCTTTGTGAAGGTTAGTTTTACATCTTTCATTAGCTTTATATCTCTCGTCAGCTTTCACATTCAACAGTGGCTTTCACATTTTACGTTGGCTTTCGCATTTGACATTAGCTTTACATTGCATTTGACATTGGTAGTTCCTACTAATTTCTTATTGACTTAATTATTGGTGCTACTTTATTCAACGTATTTCAGTTTGTAGCACTTTGTCATGACATAATTTTTTTTTTTTTTAGCTTTAAAATAACTCTGATCTCATTCTTATTTCCCTTAAGCCTTGGTTTTATTTTTGGCGCTGCTTTATAACTTTGGTTTGTTCTTTTCTTCTTTAAGCATTTGCTTTTTTTTGGTATGCCTAATTTTATTTTATTTATAATTTTGGTCTTCTTTAACGTGACTTTGTTCTTTGGTGTTGTATAATAACTCTGGCCTTGTTTTTTCCTCTTTTAAATATTTGCTTTTTTCTTTGGTGTACCTAATTTTACTTGTAACTTTGATCCTTCTTAACATTGAACTTTGTTCTTTGACACTGCTTTATAACTTTGGTCTGTTCTTGCATTTGCTTTTTTGGTACATCTAATTTTACTTTATAACTTTGATCTTTCTTAATATTAACTTTGTTCTTTGGCACTGTATTATAACTTTGGTCTTGCTCTTGCCTCTCTTAAGCATTGACTTTTTTTTTTGGCGCACTTAATTTTGCTTATAACTTTGATCTTGTTCTTACTTTTTGTAATATTGGCTTTGTTCTTTTGCGCTTCTTTGCACCTAATTTTACTGTCTTGTTTTTATCTTCTTAAGTGTTGGCTTTGTTCTTTGGCATTGCAACTTTGATCTTGCTCTTAAAATAGATTATATGTTTATTAGTAGAAATACTTTTAACCAAATTGTAGAAAAATATTTAACTAACTTCCCAAAATTGAAACAACGAAAGACCTTAATAAACAATGAGCTTTTAAATAAGATAAAGACTATTCTATTAAATCCAAAAGATACTTCGCTCTATAATAAAAACTTATAGTCATGAGCTAAAAACAAATTTATACTTAAAGAAATTGTACCTGGGGATTACAGAGTACTTGTAAAAGCCACGAATAATCCTGTGTTAATAGTTAAAAAATTTTATGATATTCTATGTCAAACCCATGGTGAAATAACACAGCATGGTGGTCAGAAGCAAATGTAGACCTCAATTCATGAAAGATGAGGGTATATTAAACAATCAATTGTGAAAAAATTTGTGAACAATTGTATAGCATGTGCAATAAGGAAGCTAGCGTTTTATTCTTTGGCAGCAAAGCTGATAATTGCCAAAATTTTTATATCTAGGATGCAGGTAATATAAATTTTTAGGTTTTTTTTTTTTTTGAAATTAATTAAATTATGCTTTAATTATGGTTTATTATATAGATAGACCTTATTGATTTATTCTACATTCCTGATGGAGAGTTCAAATATGTATATCATGTAAAAGACCACTTCAGTAAGTTTTCGTGGGCTAAGGCACTCATATCAAAAAGACCAATCAAAGTCGCATCTTTTCTCTTTAACCTTTTTCACATGATTGGATCACCCTGACTATATTACAATTGGATAATGGCAAGGAATTCATAGCACAAGTCATCAAAGAACTAATCGAGCTATGGCTATCAGTGAAGATTATAAATGGGCGCCCAAGACACCCAGTTACAAGGTTTAGTAGAATATGCTAATGGTATCTTGAAGCAAAAACTAGAGAAACTACTAGCCAAAATGACTGGACATTTGGTTTGAGGTTCGTTGTGGTTGCCATAAACAATTCATAATGTAGATTGCATAAAAAAACACCCTATGAATTGGTTTATGATGACAAGCCCTATAGTAATTGTACTCTGGTAAATAAACTTTATGCAAATAATATCTTCGACAAAGAGAAAATACCAGATACAATTGAAATTTCTGATGCTAATTACGAAGTAGACCTGGACGATGATATAGCTGGTATTAAAATTAATAAAATTATTTTATTTATTAGATTTTTACTTTTTTTTTTTTAATACTGTCTATTTTTTTTTATTTAGATTTTTTGCCTAATAATATTAATAATTCAGAACAATCACCCGATGGTATTGTTTGTTCAGTCCCATCACCTGATAATAATATTGGTCATCCTGTATCTTCGCTCACAAGCCTTGTATTTTCACCCAGAAGCTTTGTGTCTTTACCCAGAAGTCCTGTATCTTCCTCCAGAAGCTTTGTATCTTCTTCTAGAAATCTGGTGCCATTATATAATAATGATAGTAGTTATTTGGTACTTTTTCCTATAATTGTAAAAAAAAAAAGTATTAATTGTAGATACATATGAAAAGAAAAAAAAAACATACATTTATTGTGGGTGTATATGAAAAAAAAAAAAATAAATGGAAAAGCCTATATCACAAATGTAGTGTTAAAAAGGATGATTACGATGATTATGTATAGGGAAGGTGCTATAATAAATGTTGAGCTAGTATTATTTTCTAACAATAATGTTTTATATTTGCTAATAACCATTTAGTATCTTCATTCAACAACTGTGATTTTGTATCTTCACTCAATAACTATAGTCTGGTGTCTTCACCTAATAACTATGGACTAGTGTTTTTATCTAATAATCATGATCTGGTATCTTTGCCTAAATATTCAGTGCTTTTATATGACAATAATGGTAGTTATATTGTGCTTTCTCCCAATAACTATGATAATTATCCATTGTAATGAAAAAAAAATAGTATTTATTGTGGGTATATATGAAATAGAAAAAAAAATTTTATTTTACAGAAAATATTGAGCCGGTATCATTTTCTAACAATAATGGTTTGCCTTTGTCTAATAACTGTGGTCTAGTATCTTTGTCCAATAACTGTGGTCTAGTATCTTCACCCAATGATTGTGGTTTGGTTTTTTGCCCAAAAACCTAGTGCCTTTACATAACAATAATAGTAGTTATATAGTGCTTTTCCTAACAATTATAATAATTATTTATTGTAGATGCATACGAAATAAAAAAAACAAGTATTTACTGTGAGTGCATATGAAATAAAAAAAAAAGTAGAAAGTCTTATTTCATAGACATAGTGTTAAAAGAGATAACTATGACGATTATGTATAGGGAAGGGATACATAATAAATAATAAGTTGGTATCATCTTCTAACAATAATGGTTTGCCTTTGTCTAATAACTGTGGTCTAGAATCTTCGTCCAATAACTGTGGTCTAGTATCTTCACCTAATATTTGTAAACTGGTGTCTTTGCCTAAAAACCCAGTGTCTTTACTTAATAATAATGGTAGTTATATAGTACTTTTCCCAACAACTATAATAATTATTTATTGTGGGTATATATGAAATGAAAAAAAGTATTTACTATGGGTGTATATGAAATGAAAAAAAAAATGTAGAAAGTCTTATTTCATAGACATAGTGTTAAAAGGAACAACTATGATGATTATGCGTGAGAAAAGAATATATAATAAATAGTGAGCTAGTATTATCTTCTAACAATAATGGTTTGCCTTTGTTTAATAACTGTGGTCTAGTATCTTCTTTCAATAATTATAATATTGTGTCTTTACCCAACAATTGTGGTCTGGCATCTTTGTCTAATAAATATCTTTGTCCAATAACTATGGTTTGGTGTTTTTGCCCAAAAATCTGGTACCTTTATATAACAATAATAGTAGTTATATTGCCAATAACTATGATAATTATCCATTGTGAGTACATATGAAATAAAAAAAAAAAAAAAATAGAAAAGCTTATCTCATGGACATGATGTTAAAAGGATGACTATGATGGTGTGGGAAAGGGGTGTATAAAAAATATTAAGCTAGTATCATTTTCTAACAATAATGCTTTGTCTTTGCCAATAACTGTCTAGTATCTTCGTTCAATAACTATGGTCTGGTGTAGTGTTTGTAGTCGATTTTGTATTAGTCGATAAAATCGGCTTAGCCGGCTTAGTCAGTCGATTTTTCAAAAAATCGACTTAGTCGTAGTCGAGATGATTTTATGTTAAAAACTACAGTAACTAATCAGTCATAGTAGTATCCCGAAAATTTCCGAAAAGAAAATCAACGAATATAAAATACGAGCAAGGTTGAGACAAAAATTAGAGGAAATCTCCGATACGATCCGAAAAGTAAATAAATAGGATTTAGGATAACCGACTCTAACTTAGCCGGCTAAGCTGAGTTTTAAATATCGACTTAGTCAAGTCGATAAATAATGGTCAACTACAAACACTAGTCTGGTGTCTTTACCCAATAACTGTGGTCTGGTATCTTTGCCCAATAACTGTGGTCTAGAGTCTTTGCCCAAAAATCTAATGCCTTTATATTATAACAATGGTAGTTATATTGTGCTTTCTCCTAATAACTAATAATTATTCATTGTAGGTACATATGAGATAAAAAAAAAAAAAAAAAGTATTTACTGCAGGTGCATATAAAATAAAAAAAAAGTAGAAAGTCTTATTTCACGAACATGGTGTTAAAAGGGACAACTATGACAACTATGTATGGAGAAGAGGTGCATAATAAATAGTGAGCTTGTATCATCATCTAACAATAATATTTTGCCTTTGTCTAATAATTATAGTCTAGTATCTTTGCCTAATAACTGCGAGCTGGTGTCTTCATCCAATAACTATGGTCTAATGCCTTTGCCTGAAAATCTGGTAATTTTACATAATAACAATGATAATTATACTGTGCTTTCTCCTAACAACTAATAATTATTCATTGTGAGTCTATACAAAATAAAAAAAAAATAAAAAATTTATTGTGTATGCATATGAAATGAGAAAAAAAAAAAATAGAAAGTCTTATTTCATGAAAAATAGTATGCTGGTATCATCTTCTAACAATAATAATTTGCTTTCGCCTAATAACTGTAGTCTGGTGCCTTTGCCCAATAATTATGGTCTGGTGTCTTTACCCAAAAACCCAGTACCTTTACATAACAATAATAGTAGTTATATTGTACTTTTTTCCAATAACCATGATAATTATTCATTGTGGGTTCATATAAAATAAAAATAAAAATAAAAATACTTATCTTATGAACATGGTGTTAAAGGGACAACTATGACAATTATGCATGGGAAAGGGGCACATAAAAAATATTGAGCTGGTATTATTTTCTAACAATAATGCTTTATCTTTGCCAATAACTGTCTAGTATCTTTGTTCAATAATTGTAGTCTGATATCTTCGCCTAATAATTATGGTCTGGTGTCTTTGCCCAATAATCATGGTCTGGTGTCTTTGCCTAATAATCGTAGTCTGGTGTCTTCGCCTAATAGCTGTAGTTTTGTGTTTCTACCTGATAACAATCTTGATTTAGAACTGTTATCTGATATGTATAATAGTTCAAGTCCTTCACCTAATAATGATGATAAGTTATTTAATTATTGTTGCGAATCATAATGAAATCAAATTAAAATAAAATGAGAGTTTCTATTTAATTCTTTTTTTTTTTTTTTTTTTTTTTTTTTTTGGTATTAAGGTGACCTCTTTGGTCTGGGGAACTTTTTATTAGAGTATAGACGAA